CCCATTTGTCTGACTGTACTGAGCCCTGCTCTTCCCACTCCATCCTTCTCCAATTAAAAACCTAAATTACCTCTTCACACATTAGAGTGGAGCTGACCTCTTGGTATTGACCAAGTAAAATCTGTTTTCATTGCTTTAATGGATCACTGGTTGTCTGGATCTTTGACAGCCCCAAGAAGTTCTGTGCTCCCTCAGACCAAGGAGACCTTCAGGATTTTTCTGGGGTGAGTATAATGCATATTAGCTCAGACACTTACTGGTTTGGAAGCCTCCAGGTTGGACCACAGAGACTTTTACTCCCCATGTGGAAAGTTCTTGCCTCATAATTGATGAAAACATAGTCAGAGCTGCCTTGGTTGGGTTGTAAGCCGCCATCTTCGGCATTGGGACCCCTCCTGTGGAAACAAAAGGAAAAACAATCAAGTTTAATATTTTCATTTTTTCATCCAATAAATATTTAACCACCACCAAACTGCATCCTGGGAAGTGGTATAAGTGGTGACCAAAGCAGACAAAAGCAGGCATCGTCCCTTTATACCCATCGTCACCCCTATTGCGTGGCTTCGTTTGCAGCTACCACTCTTGGCTCCTCCATCACAGCTGGTACAATAACTAAGCAAGCTGAAGGCTCAGTCTTGCCCAACTTTTAAGGGAAATATCATTGCTGTGGGATAAATAACACCTGTTCACCATGCCTTAGCCAATATTCATTCTGAAGTTCCAGGTGACACATTTTTGGCAGGATTCACTATTCAATCCCTTATGGCACGTATTTGAAAACTGGGCTTCGTACCTCTTGCAATGAGGAATACACCATGGAGAATCAGGAGGCATGAATAGGGACTTAGCCCTAGCTGGGATAGATATTCTTTATCCCACCTAAATCACATTTAGCTCAAGAGCCTTTGAAATTGAGGCCTAAACAGGGTTTGTCACTGGACCAGCTGGAAAGAAAGAGCTATGCAAGTTGGAATCAAAGGAATCCAGAAAACGGGACTGGTCTGTCTGTAGTAAAGTCCAGGAAGGTATAATTAGGATGTAATGATTGCTAGGTAAGATCATTCTGGATCAGGATGGCTCCTAACTCTAATGAACACTGTTCTTACAAGAAGCTTCAAAAGAGAAGATATGCAGAGACACAGGGAAGAAAGCATGTGACCCAAACTGAGCCACAATCCTTATTGGAAACTGATATAAATGATGGAGAAGAGATGGTTTTATTACTTATTTCTGGGTATTTAAGTGTATCGCCACCATTACTGATGGAAGACTAGAGTTCTTTAGAAGATCACTTTTACCACAGCATATATAAGGTAAGCGGACAAAATCACAAGGGACATAAGGGGAAAGGAAGGAATTGAAGGAGAAAAAGGGATTAGATGTGAGGAAAATTAAGACTGTATTTTCAAACCTGGTCTCCTCCAACTGGTAAGCTAGTAAATTCTTCTTCCACTTTTGTTTTAACTTAATTTGAGATTTGATCCAGTCACTTTGAAACAAAGAGGCCAAAGGCTTAACTGATGAAATTTCAATACAGCATCTGGCAGCAAACAGGCTCTCACTGAAGTGGTTCCCTTCTTGCCACAGATGACCAGCTGGTTTTGCTTCAAGTGACTCTTAGTTTCACAAAATCTTCACATGTGAAATCTAACTGCTTCCTTGTATTGGTGAGAAAGGCCAAAAAAAATTGTTGAAAGTCACATGGTTGTGTGGCAACCACAGTTTAAGGGATTAAACCGAATTTTCACTTCTTCATGATTTTTAATAGATGATGAAGGTCACTGGCCAGAAGGTTGGTTAGTGGAGGGTCGCCATTAAGATCTGAATTCTGGAGCCAATACCATCTGTGCACAAGTCCCAGCTCTGCCATTGCTTAGCCACCTGCTCTCAGGAAAGTCACTTTATGTTTATGGGCCCTGCCTTTTAAAATGTAAATTAAGACTAATGATAGTACATGCATCTTAGGAGTGTTGTGCAGTTTAAATGAATTAATGTATTGCATAGAGCCTGGCACAAAGTAAGCTCTATGCAGAAGCTTCTTGTTACTGGTGCTACTCCAGTTATTCACAATGCCATCTTAACAGCCCAAAAGGCTCCATATGTTCAGTGTTTCTTAGAGTAATAAGTGCTCCTGCTTTAGAATCTCTGGCAGCATGTTTACTATGTGGATTATTAAGATCCACCCTGGACCTACTGAACCAGAATCTGCATTTCAAACCATTAAGAACAATTAAATTGAATACTAAATATTGCAGTATTACATTGGAGGAGTTATCACATATTTCTGAACATGTGTTTTCATAGTGATGCTCCGCCTTATGGATAATATAAGCTTTTGGTTTGAATGTGTCCCCCAAAAAGCCTGTGCTGGAAGCCTACTCTCCAGCTTCACAGTTGGGACATGGGGCCTAATGAGAGGTAACCAGGCCAGAAGGGTGGAGTAAATGGATTAATGCCACTGTCTTAGGATTGGGTTCATTATAAAAGATGTTTAGCCTCCTTTTGTTCTCTCTCCCTCTCTCTCTCTCTTTCTCTCTCTCTCTCTCTGTCCTCCCTCCCCTTCCCATCCTTCCCATTCCCTTGCCATGTCCAAGAAAAGACCATGTGAGAACATAGAAAGTGACCAGCTACAAACTGAGAAGAAAACCTTAACCAGAAACTAACCATGCTGATGCCTTGACCTGGAACTTTCAGCCTCCAGAACTGTGAGAAAATACCTTTCTGTTGTTTAAATCACTCAGTCTCTACTATTTTCCTATGGTAACTTGTGCGGACCTATATACCCAATCAACAATAGGCCCTGGATTTAACCAACCGCACACAGCCTGGCAAACTCCCTACTCCCACTTCATGGATGCACTGTGAACACCCCCCTCACCCCTACCTCTTCCAGCCACTCAGTGTCTTTATTACCTGCCTGTGTCCTTTGTCTGGCAAGTGAATAAAGCCAGCATTCACTATTGATCAAGCTGGTGGTCACCATCTTGTCTTTCCTCTACAGAGAGGTTTATTGTTGATGTTAGGCTAAAAATGAGGCACTTGAAGTTACATTTTGGAAGTTAAAAAGACTTGTGGAGCCTCTTAGTCCAAGAATAGGCTCTGGCGTGGTCTTTGCCTCACTGTTGGTGTGGCACATGCCACTTAGTCATGTTTCCTAAGGTTCTACCAGCTATAAAGGTCTTGATGACTTCTGAGGTAACACAAGACCTCAGAAACTCCTCACAGTAGTATGATCAACCCCTACATGAAGATTCCTCTTTTTATAAACTGAAGATAACATATGGCTACATACAAATTATGAGAGAGGAGGGGGTTTGTGGATAAATACTCTATTAACATGAGTAGGGGGGTGCAAAAGCATCTTGGCCTTTCAGTCTGAGGTTGTGGAGCAAAGGTACCAAAGTCCTATGCCTACAGTGGCTTACTCATTCGACAGTATCTTTCAAAGTCAGGATTAGCAGGACCTTGTCTCAGGAGAAAAGCATGGGGGCTCTAAACCAATTCCTGCCTCCTCCAAGGACACCAGGTCAACTAAGGTGATAAAGTTCATTCCTCTATTGTACTTTTCCAACCTGAAGAGCATAAACCAATCTCATGATGCTGGACAGGCAATTTCGCAAATTCCCACTAGGCAGAAATTCAAATCAGCATCGGGTGGTTTCTTTGTAATCTGATGATTTCTGAGGCTGCAGCAAGGTGCTCAGTATCAAAATCAAAGTCTAGGACCTCTTTACTCAAAGTATGAGTGAGAACCAGCAATAGCCCCTGGGAATCTGTTAAAAATGCAAACCTTCTTGTCCCACTCTATTCCCATTGAATCAGCAATTCTGGAGGTAGAGCACAGAAAAAT